GGGGTTGAGGTTTGTTTATGAGCTTAAATTTCCAAAACATAACAAATAAACTCATTGAAATGTCGGCTAATAGCCCAACAGCAATTATCCGAAGAAAACTTAAAGCTTTTCCGCTATTTTCCAAGTAAGCACCATCCTGATGACGTGCCACATCTATTTCCTAAGATCCTGCTGCCACGTGTCGAGAACGTTGGGCCCAACCCATGACGGACGTAACGGTTTCCTTGTTTTCTCACTAGCCGTTGTCCTCCCGTTTCACTGGCCGCTTCATTTATGTAACGGGAAAGTGAAACTCCGTCAGTGACGTGGGCTACTAACATCCGTTAGATCAGGGTTCTAAGCTATATCGTACGGCGGATATAGGCGACGGAATTGTGAGGGGTAAAATTGGAATATGAGTATTTTCAAAATGAAGGCATTAAATGTCCTCTGACTTGTGTACCAAACCCTCGTCCGACGGCATAAGACGAGTAAATGGCGGTGTACGGCTTCGAAAAAGACGGAATTTTTTGCAAGTGAAAAAAATAAAATCCGAAATATTAATTTACTGTGGTGTTCAATAAATAAACCGATTTTAAATTTCTTTTACTATTTTTATGAACACTATTTTTATAAGCATCGGGGGCACGTCCAATTACTCGCCAAAAACGCCGCGCCAAAGTGAATGCGCGGCGATTTTTATTAAATGGCGGAAATACCCTTTACCTTTTTCATAAAGTGTTTTTATACCCTGGCACAATTTTTTTGTAGGCGACCACATTGTTGTAGACCATAGGAGGCCACTCGAGATTATTGCCAAAATTCAAGTAAAATTTTCAGTAAAAGAGTGATTATGGAATATTTTAGCCAAATTTTTCCGCATAAAATGGAATTTCATGAAATTAAGGAATATTGTGCCACAACTTTCTTTAATTAGATATATTTCAACAATAATTAAGCCAAAAAATTAGAGATAGGTATGTTCCATGCAAATTGCATCAGAAATCAATGTGACGTACTTCAAGTTTGACGTTTAGACGAAATGTCAGCATATTTGAAAAGGTTTTTCTTAGGCATGAAAGACAGTGAACTTGGAGAGAATAATAATAATTCCCATTTGGCTAGGTTATTTGGGGGATTCACAACATGGCTATGGTATTTTGATTCACACAATATGTTTTGTATTTCAATGGCAACTAGTGGGTGCAATACTGTGGATTTTGTCTATCTTCATAAACACTTTGAATTGGGATCTCAAACTAGAGCTCCATTAGAAACTTTCTCTGGATCCATAATCACATGAAGAACAATTCTCATGTTTCAGTTCAAGGAATATTTCCAAATTAATAAAAATAGATGTACATTGTATTTAATGAAAAATCTCTATTGTTGCTTAAACATCGCCTGTTTTAGGCCACCTCAATCTCCACTTTTGATTGGATGAGGGACAAAAAAAAGAACAAAGTGAATTTATATTAAGTATTCAATATCATTGTATATCAATAAAGTTAGGATTAGTGATTTCAGGCACTTGGATCGACGCCGAAGGGGTTTAAGAGCAACATGTCAATGCTTAAAGATCAAATTCCAGAACTAATCTACTAGAAGTTAACATGTTTCTTAACAAGGCCACTCATTTATGTTATTATATGCAGTAATGGATGATGATAGTGTGAAGGTGCTAGTTCTTTCTTCAAGTTCTCTGGTGAACTCATGACTCATGAATTACTAGGCCATTTTGAGGGTATTTTATTTTATACGAAATATTTTAAAGTAATATTCAAAAAATAAGAAATGCTTCTGTATAAGATTTGTCTACTGGTACTGGTATAAGAGAAGTTCCATTACCATTATGCAACCACTTATATAAGGATCCAAATGGTATTTATTGAAGTAGTACCTCTAAAAGTTGGCTATGATCTATCTCCTGCAAGTGCTAATACATGATTAGACATTCCTACACTTTGAATCATGTTAAGATTGCCATGTTTCACAATGTCATTCATTACTAACAATATCGTCGCCGTCAATTGCGTAATTTTAAGACTGATGATTTTTTGCTACTAAAAAAAAGCAAAATTTCGTTCACTGATCCAGAAATAGCAATATCAATCAGGTGGATTATGCCCTACTTGATTTCCGTAAAAGTAAGCATTTGTATTACATTCATGCAACAAATAAAGGAACTCATCCGAATCGAATAGGGTTGTCAATGGGCTAGGTTGGCGGAATCAGGGTTTTACCCAATTGTTTGGTTGGCTCCATCCAAAACTTATTCAGGCTAGGAGTGCTTAATTTGAACCTGGCACGGATTAATTATGTCGGGCTCGGTTCTATCCTAACCTGGCTAAGATAGAAAGCCCCTAGCTTGATTAAATTCCCATAATTAACACTGTGACTAACCTTTTATAAGGAATAATCAGACATCCTTACTCAGAAATCATGCTGCATTTGCCGGGACTCACTGAGTAACATTCATGATTAGTGCTATTCTCACTTGCATACTTCATTTGTTCTTAAAATTTATTAGAAAATTCTTTTCGCCTCTCGCAATAATAGAAATAATGTTCAACGATCTGTTAATAATATCATCAACCAAATGGATATTTTTTGTCCTGTGTTGATTGCCATATGATAAACATTCATCCAAACAACAATAAAGTGACTTATCTTAATGCAACATTAGCACTAACGATCCCGAGCTCGATCAAACCTCCATTAACAATATTGGTACCTTTATCAGGACTTACTACATGCTGTACTCCTGAATTATGCTAAGTTTGCAAAGTTTTTACTCGGCAAACATGCATTACTAGTGATATTGCTAGCTAGCATAGCCGGTTCATTCCGAATACCGCTCAGAGTAGTTTACCAGACACACAAAAATAGTAAACATTTTCTAAACAATCTGAGCATAGAAGCATTAACAACATCCATTTAGACATTGACCGACGTCGGGTAAGTTGCTCTAGTACATCCATAAAGAAATAATGCTTCTTATCCAACAAAAACACTAAGTGGATACACAATATCCATACAACAATTAAGTGGATTATCTTAAAGGTACCTTTATTACGACATTATACTCATGAATTATAAGATTTATAAGACATTATACTCATGAATTATGCCACATGTGCCAAGCTTCATGAAGAAAACATGCATTGCTGGCGGCATTGCTTGCCGACATAATCCGTTCATTTCGAAAAAAAATTCTCTGAGCAATTTTATTGAAGCATAAAAATAGTAAAACTTTAACAACACAGATTTTATGTTCCCGAATTAGCCACAATCCTATAAGCTGCTATATTATGTCCACAAACAAACAATATTGTTTATCTAAAGGGTGTGGTTTTTCTATAAGGTTGCAACCTTAAACAATCCAAATAAGGTGCACTTCCAAATTTTATCATAATATGTAATTTTAGTGTAAAATATTCTTAGGATTATCTCAAAATCTATTTTCATATCTTATTATAAAATTTTGAACTTCAAAAATAATTAAAATCAATTAGATCGGTAAACATATGAAAATCTTGAAATTGGACGGTCCAGATAATGCGTTGCAAGGTGCACTGTTTCTGGGACTCAAAATCTTTTTTCTTTCATATTCATACATTGCGGTGTTGGGATGATCAATTAGAAGGTTTTTCAACATTAAAACAACCTTTTTCGATAGATTTTTTACGTGCATATGTAATTCTACAATTTAAAATTGCAACCTCGTATAAACTTTTTCCTTACCTAAATGAGACAATGGCAAAAATCGATCCCCTAACTTCATTGAATATAGTGTACTGACACCGATCATCTGATTTCTACAATAGACAAGAATAAAAATAAAAGAAATAAAGCACACTCAAAGGCAACCATAATCCATGAGGATGAGAAAAACGAGTATGGTTGATCCTTACCGTCCAACAACATGAACAAACAGTGGATATCATTGACATGGCGTACCAATTACCGTACACCAGTAGCTTCCAAACAAAGTGGCAGTGGTGTTTTTGTGATTGTCATAATAAGCAGGGTTGTTTTGTTGCTTCACTCCACAGTGAATAAATCGGCAAAAGATTTGCAAAACAACTCGCGGATTCTCAAATCCTCGTTCCAAAAAAACCAAAAATAAAAAATAACAATTGGTCGGTTAATTTGTCCGCCATTTTAACATTAAAGAGAAAAAATTTGTGCCTCGTTTTCAGTAATCAACCGCTTCTTTTTAATATCACCACCCAAAACATAAGTGCAAATTCGAAAAATTAACCATTTCCATTTTTAGTGATCCACCCATTATTTTCTCCTCTTTTAGATGAATTATTAATCATTAAAAAATAGAGTTGGCAAATTTAGTCACCTCTTATTATTTTCATTAAAATAGAGGATCGCTATTTCCCAGTGTTGCAGTGCCCGAGGAAGAGAGAGCGACAGATAGAGAGAGAGATATTTCGGCAAAAAGATCGCCGGTATCTGAAATCTCGGCGACCGGGAAGTGGTCGAAGGGAGAGCTGCCCTGAAAGGCGCTGACCTAATGAAGTTGTGTACTGCGTATTTGTACCAAACTCCAATACCTCCTCCCCTCGACTGCTGAGAAGATTTAACTCCCGCACTTTCCACTCTCTCTCATTAATTCCCTCTCTCTCTCTCTCCTCCATTTCTCTTTGATTGATTGAGCTCACTGTTTTCAGTCTCTCCTCTCCTTTGAGTTCTTCTTTCTCTCTCTACTGTCTTTCTTCTTCTTCCAGCTTGCACTCTCTCCCTTCCCACACGCTCACTCTCTCTCTCTCTCCTTTCTTACTTTCTCTCTCTAGATTCTCTCTCATTAACTCTATCTCATTAACACCCCACTCTCTCTCTCTCTCTTCGGGACTCGGGGCTTTAAATTCATCGGTTACCATTTGACAGGCGCCCTCACTTTCTCTCTCTCTTTCTTACTCTTTCTCTCTCTTACTCTCTATCTCTTTCTTACTCTTTCTCTCTCTTACTATCTATCTCTTTCTCTCTCTTACTCTCTATCTCTTTCTCTCTTTCTCTCTCTTACTCTCTATCTCTTTCTCTCTCTTACTCTCTATCTCTTTCTTACTCTTTCTCTCTCTAGCGTTGCTTCTCATATAGCGACCATCAGGAAGGATATCAGTTTTTACAGGCGTTATAGAGACTGGTTTTTTCTTGACCCAAAATGTAGAAGCCTTCACTCCAACAAATGGGCAAACAATATCGCCATGGAAATATGAACGCGAGCCCCTGGTACATGTCAGGCCAATTTAAGAGAGTGGGTTTGATACGGATTGATATAGTAAGTGTCTTTCCTCTATTTTCTCTCTCTTGAATCTCTTCTATTGATTTCTTTTGTTAGAAGGTATGTGTTTCTTCTTTTACTTTGGAATAAGCATTTTCTGAGGCTCTTTCTCTTTTTTTTGTTTGTTGTCAATGGCTTTGTTTAGGACTGGAACATGGATGTTTTAGGGTTTGGAATGGAAAAAATGTTTCTGGGTTTTTTGGGGCTTTTTTATTCGAAGGTTGAACTTTCATGGAGTAGTGTGGTTTGATTGCAAGAAAATGGAGGGTGGTTCGGGAGATGATCAAGATGCCTCTGATCCTCAGAGGAAGAAGAAGAGATACCACCGCCACACAGCTCACCAGATTCAGGAGCTTGAAGCGTAATGAGCCAAACCCACTCTCTCTTCGTCCTTTCCTTTATAGTTATTCCTTCTGTAGGTAAAAAATTAGAAGTTTCAATACCTAAAACCCAAACCCGAAAGGCTCAATCTTCTTTTGTTTGCTTTGGGGAACACGACAGAAACCTGAAATCGAGTGTTTTCTCTCTCTGTGTTTGTACAAATTTCTCAATACCCAAAACCCAAACCTAAAACTTTGTCTGCCTTTTTAACGATTAAAACATGCAATCCAGTCTCTCTCTCTCGAAGCCTTAATTTCATGAACCCAAAAATTTTGAAGCCGTTTTTTTTTTTATGTCATTTAGTTGCTCCGGGCAACGATTAAGACATGAAACCCGGTTCTTCTGGTTTTATTTATATATAAACATTGCGTAAGAATCAAGACCCGGATTCGTAAACCCATAACCATTTCGATTTCTTTATTGTTTCTCTCTCCAAAATTAAGACCAAAAAGGCCAAAACCCAGTTTTTCAGGTTTTTTTACTTGTATTTTGCGTAAGGATCAATAACAGACCAGCTTCGGCTTTCCTTTTTTAATTTTTTTTTCTTTTTATTTGTATTGGAATCAAAACCCAACACCGAGTTTCATTTCTTTATTTCTTGAGCTTCGAAGTCAAAACCCGAGCTCAGTTGTTTTTTTTTATTTATACATTTATTTTTTATATCAAATTCCTTGTTCTTCTTCTTTTATTTCTTTTTCAAATTTTTTATTGCTTGAAAATCATTCTTAGAACGGAAGTCCAATTTTGTTTATCGATATATTCTGTGCTGATATATCAGTAAAAAAAAAGAAAAAAAGTTATACTTTTTTTGCTTGCCTCCTAAAAGTAGACCTCAACAAGCTTTTTTTTATATTCATTTTGATCTTTTCCTTGATTTCTGTTTTGGGTAACTCTTCAATGTCCAGTATTATATGATTGATTCCTTTCCTTTTTTTTTCCCTCTATTTGTTGGGTTTTATATAAAACTTTGAAATATCATGTTTAATATATTTTTCCTTTTTTTTCTTTTTTGTTTATTCTAATTTTCATTGTTATGGGGTGAAGGATGTTCAAGGAAAATCCACATCCAGACGAGAAACAGAGATTACAGCTTAGCAGGGACTTGAGTCTCGAACCTCGACAAATTAAATTTTGGTTCCAGAATAGAAGGACCCAAATGAAGGTATCAACTCAAAGTCACCTCTCTCTCTCGGATTGGTATTTTACTTTTCTTGGGTGTTCTGTTTTGATTTGAAAAGCTCTCTCTCACATACATTTTACTTTTGTTTTCATGGTGATAAACATTGTTTAATAATGGACAGGCCCAACATGAACGAGCCGATAACTGCGCACTTAGAGCTGAGAATGACAAAATTAGGTGTGAGAATATAGCTATCAGGGAGGCCCTCAAGAATGTTATTTGTCCTTCATGTGGAGGCCCTCCTGTTGGTGATGACTATTTTGATGAGCAGAAACTTCGCCTAGAAAATGCCCGTCTGAAAGAAGAGGTTGAACTTTCTCTCTCTAAATATAAGTTAGTTCCTACAGTAACCAGTATTTCTCTCTTACCCAATGCTATATAAAACGCTCTCTTCGTGAGAAAAAGTTGAGATAGTGCACCAGTAAGAATCAATACAAATGGGCATTCATGCATTCATGTTAACCTTTTAAATCTGTTGTTTTACTCTTATTGCACTTCTTCTTTTCTTCCCATTATAACTTGATGTAACACCACTGTATCAAGCATTGCTGTAGATTATACAGGAATACGGACTCCACGGTTGTCTCTCTTACTTTCAGAGCTAGGATAAAGAAATTCACATTAATGCTTCTACTCTGTATTTTGTTTCTATTTTTAGCTTGACAGAGTGTCAAGCATTAGGGTAAAGGAATATGAATATCAATTCAAAAGTTACCTCACTGTGTGTGCGTGCGCCCCTGCACAAGCACGCGTGCGCATTGCTCGTGTGCACATGTGAAAATGCCGAGAAAAGAAAATGAGATTGGCCATTAATGAGGTTTATTACAAATGAATTGGATTTTTTTGTTATCTTCTTTGTAATTCGCTCTCTAAATTCTCTCTTTTTGCTTTAGCTTGATAGAATATCAAGCATTACTGCAAAGTACATGGGAAGGCCTATTCCTCAGTTACCACCAGTTCAACCAGTCACCATGTCAGCACTAGACCTCACGGTCGGTAACTTTGGGGGTCAGGGAATTGGGCCCTCTTTAGACCTTGATCTTCTTCCTGGTAGTTCTTCTTTAGCTGGTTTGCCATTATCTAGTGGTGGAGGAGTGGCGGAGCTTGAGAAATCGATAATGGTGGACCTTGCAACCAATGCCATGGACGAATTTTTGAGATTGGTGCAGGCTGAAGAACGATTATGGATGAAAACATCACCAGAAGCTGGTGAAGTTCTTAATTTGGATAACTATGAGAGGGTCTTTGCGAGGCCTAGTCAGGGGAAGAACCCTGATTTGAGAACAGAAGCTTCGAGAGATTCAGGCCTTGTGATCATGAATGGTGTGGCATTGATTGATATGTTGGTGGACCCAGTGAGTCTCTCTTTCTCTCTCTCTCTCTCAGGTGATGTAAGGGGCTAAGTTGGTTTTCTTTAACCCATTTAGAAAAGGAAGAAATCCATTGTTTCATCCATCCTTCCATTCATTCATTTGTTTCTGTTTTATTTCTCTCTTGATGTATTTCTAGAGAGAGAGAGAGATTATATTAAAAGTGTGGATGTGGTTGCAGAACAAATGGATGGAGATGTTCCCCACCATCATTTCAAGGGCAAGGATCATTGAAGTTCTCTCACCGGGTCTTCCAGGAAATCGAAGTGGCTCTCTACAACTGGTAAGAAGTTAAGCAAACAGCTGTCTTAGCCTCTAAACAGTCAACGTGGTTGTTTTTAAATTGGTTTCTTTAAAATATGAAAAAAAATGAAAAGAATGAAAGTTCTAATTCAAAACAAATGCAGATGCATGCAGAGTTGCAGGTTCTTTCGCCCCTGGTTTCGACAAGGGAGTTCTATTTTCTTCGATATTGCCAACACCATGGCCCAGGCTCTTGGGCAGTGGTAGATGTATCTGTGGACTCAGCTAGAGAGACTCAGTTCAATTCATTGTTACAATGTCGAAAATTTCCCTCTGGTTGTTTGATACAGGACATGCCTAATGGATACTCCAAGGTGATCAGATACTGTTGTGCAGTAGTTTCTTTTATGTACTTCATTATCTCTCTGCAAAAAAATTGAACTCCAGCTAGTGAATCACTAGAGTAAGACAGTTACAATGATGAGTTAGAAACTATAACTTCAAGGTGATGCAAAACTGTTACTAGAATTGTCCGTATTTTATTTAACTGCGCTTCGCAGAGAAATTAGACCCAAATTGAACTGCTGTAGTTTGGGATTTATGACGATGATGAGACAAACTAGAACTTTCAGGTGATAGAAAGCTTGTAGAATGATTTTCATGTTATCAGTCCTCTTTCTCCAAAAAGGTTGAGGCCCCACGTTATGGAATCAGAGCAGGGAAAGAGTTTTGCAAATGATATGATAGAAACTAGAAGGTCTATTGATTAAGTTGAAAAAAGAAAAGACAAAGAAAACTGAAAATTGGGGCCTGAATCTAGGTATTTCTTGAACAGGTGACATGGGTTGAGCATGTGGAAATTGAAGATAAGAACCCAACCCATAGGATTTACAGGCAGCTGATACACAGTGGAATGGCATTTGGCGCCCATCGATGGCTTGCAAGCCTGCAGAGGATGTGTGAGAGAGTGGCTAGTCTGATGGTCACCAGCATTTCGGCTCGGGACCTTGGAGGTACCCTCTCTCTCTCTCCCCCCTAGTCTGGTTATTGAGAAACCTATGCTAATTCCCAGATTACTAAGCAAGATAAGAGGGAAAAGAAAACTTTCTCTAACAGTTGTGAGGGAAAATAAAACTTTCTCTGACAGTTGTGGTATAGATGCCGTGAAAGGGTTATACATTGCAATTCCAGTTCTTCGTATGATTGTGGGTGTGTTTTATAGAGAGAGAGAGAGAGAGAGAGAGAGAGAGAGAGAGAGAGAGAGAGAGAGAG